ATGCACCGATACCAAGTACCATACTCAGTACACCTACAATTACAGATACTTTTCCAGCTCCAAGACTAGACTAGAGAAAAATGTAAAAGTTAGGAGGCCGCTGTCATTTGTAAGGAGCACACGGAGCTCCTGGGATATGTACATCTCTGTTTTAATGTATAATTTTGTTTTTATAAATAAAGGGATGCACCGATACCAGTTTTGTGAGTACAAGTACTGATACTTGTCCAAGTACTCACAGATACAAGTACTGATACATTTTTGTTTATTGTCATGTGACAGTTTTTATAAAACAATACAGACTAATGATTTCAGGACAGTGGTGGAGTGCCAGAGCCAGGTCCCAGCTACAACCGCTGCAACCCTGGTAGTTCTCACGAAAATGCCAATTATCGGCACTGGTGTCGGTGCATCCCTCATATCCTGTACAAGATTTGCTCAATCCTGAAAATGGTTATAAAATGTATTACTTTTAAAAACTGATGTCTGGTTGTCTTCTACATTTCTGTGTGTATCTGCTGTGGTAACTGTATGATTCAATTTCCTTATATCCATTTAAATATAAGGAAGGCATAACAATCGCAATATAATTCAAGAAAAGATGGTAAGGAGGGGCCTGCCCGTGAGGGCTTACCATCTAAAAATGTAACATGTGCGGCGTAATGGGCGCAATCGTCGTTTTTGAACGTATGCGCCCCCGACGCATGTTTGCACGTGTATGTATGGGTGGGGACTTTAAAAAATGTTTTTGTTTTTTTAATTCTTTTTTATGTGTAACTTAAATTTTTGGGGAGGGGGGGACTTTAATTTTTTTTTTTGCTATTTATTTTCCACTAAACTTTATTGCTATTACATATGTGGGCTAATAAAACCCCCTCTATGTGATAGCAAAATATGTGACAGGTCCTCTTTATGGAGACATCAGGGGTCTCCAAGACCCCTAATGTTATCTAGGACACCCCAAAAGAAGCTGATGAAGCACAGATCTGCTCCATCAGCTTCTTTCCAGCTTCTTCCGCATTCTTGACACAAGAATGCGGAAGTGATGTAATATACAACACTTCCGCATTCTTGCAGTGTAGAGGGGACCGGAGGGAGCTTGTGTACCGGGACCAGCGGGACAACGGGGGAAGGGGGGGGTGTGTGTGGACACCGATCGTTGCCCCATACAAGCAATCCGCCGGCTCTGTAGCCGGCGGAGCGCATGTATGTTAACAGGCATGTTAAATATCGGGCATTTCCCGCTCACGCGCGCCCAGCAGTGTGCGCTAGGGGGGGCGTGTCTGAGCGGACGTCTAAAGACGCCCACTCAGATCTAGAGAGCTCCCGGCCGGCCGTTTTTTTTACAACGGCCGGCCGGGAGGTAGTTAAAGGATACGAAGAGCAGTACCTGAACGTGAGCCAGAAACACTCCCCTCAAAAGAGGTAAGTATGGCGGCCTCAGTTGCTGTACTGGCATTTCCCACACGGAGGAGAAGCCAATCATGGATCATTAACAACTGGGTGGCCAAATAATACACATGAAAATTGGGGAAGGTTAAACCGGCTTGGGAACGCGGAAGCTGCAACACCTCCAGAGCCACATGAAGAGTACGTCCCTGCCATAAAAATGTAGTACTGAGAGAGTCTACATTTTACGGAAATATTTGAGTGGGGTGTAACACGGGGAGCTTGTCATAACATATAAATGTTTTGGCAAAAAAAAAATCTTAATAATATTGACTCTCCCCAGAAGATCCAAGGGTAAATCCTTCCATCGGTCCAGTTTCAGTTGAAGGAATTCAATCACGGGCACTACATTATTCACAATATAAGAGGAGAGAGGAAGATTTACCTGAGCTCCTGGTGAACTGGCGATACCATATTTTTTGTGACGTATCTAAAAGGGTAAGAGGGTATACTGTGTGCACTGTTTGGGTCTGCCACACTGTTAGACTGAATCTGCTGGCAAAATAATAGAATTGTAGTGCAATTGTAAAACCGTGAATGCTCTGGTCAAAATTTAGCCCACCAAGCACTGCACTACACTGTTTTTCTCCGGGGATTTATTGGAAATGTTCTTTTTTGCTACGGGTTTTTCGGGATTGTTGTTGCATCTAAAGAAAAACTCCAGGGGCACAAAGAAGCAGAATGCTTATATCTTACTTCTATTACTTGTATTTACATGTTGCACTGGACTAAGGGCCTGTTCACACCAGGCTGGTCCTCTACTGTGCATTTAAAGTGCAATTTGATAAGTTAGCTCATTCATTTGAATTTGCTCCCTAATGCACATCAACGGCCCAAAAATCATGCACGTAGCATTGCAGGAATTCTTCTCCAGATGCTTTTGCATCAGCATCTTAAGCTGCAGATCTACAAATGGGTTTTACATCTTTGGACCACACTCCCCTCTTGGTGTGCCTAACTTTACGTGGTCCCCCTAACCATGGCCAGGACTTGGCTAAGCTTCGAGCTTATCATTCTAATGCTTCTCCATTTGGCAACTGAGAATACATCATTATGAGACTATAAGTACTCTACTTATACCTCTCCCACATGAACAGTAGATCAGCCATCAAACACTACCTCTCTCCGGGGGTTCCCTGGGGGAGGGGATTTCTCAAGACAAAGGCCTCCATGTTTACAAATTAAACTCATGTTCTCTGGGCGTTCAGCGGCTTCCCCATCGGTCCTGACCATCTCTAAACTCTCAATCACTTTGTGACATTGGTCAAGGCCCTTCTCCAGCTGAAGTGCCTTCATTAGCTTCAGACCAGGTATCCTTTAATGTAGCGATGCACCGATACTAGTATTTGTATTGCTGCCGAGTATTTGGGCGAGTTCTCGTACCCGCCCAAATGCTACGATGCCTAGCCAGATACATGAGATTCTGGTATCAGAAAGCCGGGCAGCGAGTCATTACACGCTGCCCGGCTTCCTGATTGGAAGTGACAAGGGAGCATGGAGCTGACTTCCCAGCCAATCAAGAAGCCGGATGGCGAGTCATTACCCGCCCCCCGGCTTTCTGATTGGCCAAAAAGACAACTGCATGCCCCCTCGTTACCTGGTGATGAGGGAGCATGGAGCCGGCTTCGCAGCCAATCAGGAAGCCTATGTAATGACGTGTTGCCTGGCTTCCTGATTGGCCAGCTTCTCGACCAATCAGGAAGCCAGGCAATAGCTCATTATATGGGGCCCGGCTTCCTGATTAGCCAGAAAGCTGGCTCTATGCTTCCTCGTCACCTGGTGACGAGGCAGCATGGAGACGGCTTCCCTGCTTATCGGGAAGTCGGGTGGCGAGTCTTTACACACCATCCAGCTTCCCGGCTAATCAGGAAGCCAGGTGGCGAGTCATTACACTCTGTCTGGCTTCCTTATTAAGACTTCCGGTATTAGCAAGTACCGGAAAAAAAAATATCGGTACTAGATACCGATAAACCGGTATCAGTGCATCCCTACTTTAATGGTTTGTAAGGAATGATCAATGTTCACACAACTTTACTGAACATGTGAATGTTCATTACAGAATAATGTTCCAGTAATAAACAGCTGTGACTTGTCATTTCAGAGTTCAAGCATGAGGCTTACATCAGCTGTTCTTTCTTCTGGCCTATTTACTGCAAATGGAGGACCATTGCCTCTTTAGCCTTGCCTCAACTCCAAAAAGGATAACTTCTCAATGAGGAGAAAGGAAAAGGTTCAAGAGATTAACGACACCCCCCAAAGTGGACCTGAACTCAAAAAGGGAAGAGTTGCCAATTTATAGGGAACATCCAGAATTGTTAATTGTGTCTAAGCAGTACCATGGAAGATGTACCTTCGGTCTAGAATTCAGGGTCAATAAAAGAGAACCTGTCACCTCCAATTGCTATCACACAGCTAATTGTTTTCTCCTGTGTGATAGCAATAAAGTTAGGTGAAAAATGTTTTTTAATTGATAAAACATTTTTTAATTAATATAAATGAAAACTATCAGCATACAAGACATTTTGGACAATTTTATGCTCCCAACTTTGTGGGGACAGTTTGGGGATGGCCCCTTCCTGTTCCAACATGACTGCGCACCAGTGCACAAAGCAAGGTCCATAAAGACATGGATGAGCGAGTTTGGGGTGGAGGAACTTGACTGGCCTGCACAGAGTCCTGACCTCAACCCGATAGAACACCTTTGGGATGAATTAGAGCGGAGACTGCGAGCCCGGCCTTCTTGTCCAACATCAGTACCTGACCTCACAAATGCGCTTCTGGAAGAATGGTCCAACATTCCCATAGACACACTCCTAAACCTTGTGGACTCCTTCCCAAAAGAGTTGAAGCTGGTAAAGCGGCGGGCTGACTCAATATTGAACCCTACGGACTAAGACTGGGATGCCATTAAAGTTCCTGTGCGTGTAAAGGCCGGCGTCCCAATACTTTTGGCAATATAGTGTATGTGTCATAAGTAAGCCATATTATATTCTCAGGTGTACCAAGCATGCTTAGGACTGTTTCACTTTTTTCTTCCTCCTGCTGTTCCCAAAGAGCTAACTGGGCCCCTCAGCCCTTAGTTTCCATGTGGACCCCTGACGAGGTTCCCCTGGCTTGGAACCAGCGTGACAGTTTATATTTATTTCTGTCACAATGACATTTGCTATTCGAATTCTCGCGCTCGCATTCCTGCAGGAGGTCGCACTGTACACAGAAGCCAGGATGGAGCCAGGTCACGTGACCACGACGTCACCTCTATTCCACTACCGCATAGGAACTGGCCGCTACCCTAAACTGTGTCTACAACAGCGTCGGGCGTCCGCCGAAAGAAGTTCTGCCTAAGCCGGTTGGCTGTTGCAGAAGAGCTCTTCTCTCGGATTGGTCCACACACTGGCGTATACGCGCCAGCTTCCGCCCTCACGCCTGGACGACCTCGCCATTGGGGCGCAGCCTCTACCTGCTCTGCTTACCCATTGGCTCCTTCTGACGTGTCCGTTTTCTTTTTCCACTCATTGGCCGGCGCCTCTTCCTGCTTCGCCATTTGTTGTTTCCAAACGCCCGGTATCCGGGTAAGATGGCGGCAGCAGAAGGGTGCTCGCTCTCAGCTCAATGGCGCCCAGTTTCCCTCACGCACGTTGAATATCCTGAAGGTAAAGACGGCCTTGCAGCTCCAGCAGCTTGGCTGCCGCTGGCTGAATTTTAGTCACGGGGAGGGGTTTAAATGCAAAACTGCGATCCCTTTATGGGACTGTCTGGGTTCTGCGCATGCGCCTTAGGGATGGTCTGGCTAATAAGTCTGCGCATGCGCGGTATGACTGCAGTGTGTGTGTTTAGCTGGCTTGTCTGATGGATTTAGGAGTAGACAAGCCTTTGTCTGGCATCCTCTGGGGCCTGCGTACTACATGGGGGCATTCCCTGAAAACATCATTGAGTTTGTTTGGCACATATGACCATTGTTAGAAAGCATTACTTCTAATCCTACTTCAGAATTCCAGTACACATTGACATCCCACAGGGAAGAAAGCTTGCACCGCTTATGAAGCTGCAACATCAAATCCCGCCCCCTACACAATGTCGCCCATGTGTGCTGATGACACAATGTCTGCCGTGCGTTGCTGGTGCTGGGCTTCCTAAGCAGGGGTTGCCTCTTTGCACAAGCCCTTATGTGGGCCGTACTCTGGGTCATTTTGTTTCAGATCCTTCTGGTGTTTTGATCAGAAGAGTAACCAAACGGATAAGTCAACCTACTAGGGTTGACACCTTTTCTTCAAGCGAACACTCTAGCGATGTGCAAACTTTTTCTTGGAGAATGAGTCATGGTTTATTCATATGTAAATAGCGCCACCCATTCATATGTAAATGTCACAGTTGAGACTATTTTCGGTGGTGGGGCCAGTAGCCCCATCTTGATGTTGGTTGCCCCTGTCTGTCTGACATCATGTGTCTGGGTTTCTGTTGCCAAGAAACCTGGACACAGCATTCAAAACCCGGACTGTCTGGGTGAATCCTGGGCAGGTGGCAACCCTACAACCTAACACCACCATGGTAAGTATAGAGATCATAAAAGGAACACACTTGTCTGTGGTAAGTTGTTCTGATCCATTTGGTTACTTTAGCTCTTGGAAGCCCCAGTGCACACGTTGAATCCTATGTAAACCCGATCACTAAAATCTCACATAAGCGTTAACAAGTTCATGTAATATCAATAGTCATTATCTGTAAAAAAAAAAATACAACAAGCCCAGTTGCCTTGACTTATTTTTTACAGATATACCATGAGCTGGATGAATGAGAACCTTCCCAGACATCAAAAGAGCATTGCCTATATTTTATATCCTTCAGCTCTCATTAGAATAGTAGCTTGATGTCCTTGTAGCAGCACTTCCTGTTATAGGGTGACAGAACTCTGTGTGTGTCCCACAATTGTGTTCCTGCATTGTCACCCTTTGGGCTTCCCGTGGAGACTGCAAGTGACCTATTCATCACAACATATACGCAGACATGGTACACTGTTGTCACCATCGGGAAACCCACCCTGAGACATGGCGTGCAGCCACCAGTCCAATTCACTCATTTTTATTATACAGGATTTATATAGCGCCAACAGTTTGCGCATCGCTTTACAATATAAGGAAGACATTACAATTCAGGAAAAGATGGTAAGGAGGGCCCTGCCCCTGATATCTTACAATCTAGAAGGGAGGGGGCAAGTGATACATGAGGAGGTAGCTGTGTCCCTAGGCTGTATGAACCCGGAAGCGTTCAGCTCTCTGCACTTCCAGGTTCAGAGCTGTCAAATGCTGACTGCAGCGTCTGGTAAAACGGCAGGTGGGGGTCTCTCTGTCCTTGACTAAAAAGAACACGGTGCTGACCCTGAGAAGGAATCGGACCACGGTAGTTATAAAAGATCGGAGAAGCCACAGAATTCAGTATAAACACTTTATTTGACAATCCTGAATTATTGCACATGAGCACTCTGTCCTCGATCTGCATGGCCTGGCGGAAGAGGAGAAGACATCTACTAGACCCCCAGTGCCTCCGTAAAGGGTACTTGTACCTTGTCGGCCCCCTACCAGGCAAAATGACTCTCAGCCTGCAGTCGCATGCTAATGTAATTAAGTACAATACAGGACTAATAGCCCTGCATTGTACATGAGAACAACGTGGGCCACGACCCAGACTATCAGGAACAAGAGTTGAGTGCCAGCTGTGAAGAAAGGGGTCCCCCCGCACATGCATTGTTCGGAATATGACAGGTGCCAGGAATGGTAAAGCCAATGCACATGCTCAGTAGGAGGGGTGTGAAAACAGGTTCTATAAAGGAGGCGGCGGCCGTGTTTTTAACCGGACTAACAACAATTTGGAAGTGGAGCAAATTCTTGAGTGTGGGGAAGTAAATGTGTCATCATCACAAGGTCTATGGGTTTGTCTAACATGGAGGGTATGTTCACACCAACAGGATACAGTCCGTGTACCCATCCCACTCAGAGCCGCTGCTCCAAAAATGGAAGGTGGGTGCAGCAGTTGGCTTCCGACAAAATATAAGTAAAGGAAGGACACCGGCACTCCAAAGCAAGTTCAGTACGTGTTTATTAACGTTGCAAGTAGAACACTCCTAAACAACGTTTCGGGGTCTCGCAGGATCACCTTCATCAGGCAAACAAGTGAACAAGACATGCTCAACAGCACGGCTGCTGGGGGTGCGTGTCCCTGGGCAGTGCTGATGCTCTTTATCGAGCCGCATTGAACTGTTAAAGGATAACTAAAGCCTCGGGTGTTTTTGCATTTATCTACTGCTAGCAAGCAGTAGATATATGCAAAAAGTGTTAAAAAAAACGCTTTGAAAAGGATTAATACTCACCCGTGTCTTCCCCCCACACTCCCGTCCGAACATGTGAAAAATCTCGGGCGGCAGCAAAGCATCTTGGGGCGGGCGCATGCGTAGATCAACTTTTTGGCCGGGACGCGAGGAGAGACGCAAGCTAAGTCTATGGACAGCGAGCACCCGCATGCAGACACCGTGGGACAGGACGTGCCAGCAGGCCCAGGGGAGTCAGCGCTGGATCGGAGACCCGCCGCAGCGCTGGAGAGACAGATGAAAAGGACAGGGAAGAAGATCGGATTAAGAAACATCATTTAAGGGAAGTGCTTTAATTAACATTGGGGAGGGGAAAACATTTTTGACTTTAACCCCTTCATGACTGAGGCCCTTTTTTAATTTTTTGCACCCATGTTATATTCCACATTTTAGGCCTGAAAATGACGTAAAAACCCCCCAACATTATATATTTTCTGAATGCCAAGACCCTATAGAATAAAATGGTGGTAGTTGAAAATTTTTATGTTGCGCAATATTAGCGCAACTCCTTATTAAACCCCAAAATTTAGTGACAAATTTAATTAAATGCCCCAAAACACAACAAATTACCCATTTTTTTAAATGAAATATAAAAGATGAGGTTACAACGAGTAAAACGATACCCAACATGCCCAGTTTACAGATTGCGTGCGACCGTGAAACGGCGAAAAACTGCAGTACCCCAAAAAGTCAATAAAAGACGCTTTAAAAGCCCCCACAGGTCATCAATTTAGAGATACCCCAAAATACTGGCCCTAGAATTATTGCTCTCACTCCGGCGTGCGCGGCGATACCCAACATGTGTAGCGCGTTCGTCGTTTTCATGCGTAGGCGCACCCGACGCGTGTTTACGTGGCGACGCGCGGGCTCGCGGGGGCGGGGGACTTTTAAAAAATTTTTTTTATTATTATTAGATTTATTTTATTTCATTTTAATTTTAAAAACTGTTTTTTTTTTTTTTTTTACTTTACTTTGACTGCTATCACATGGGGGGGCTTGCAAGCCCCCCCATGTAATAGCAGATGGTGGTGACAGGTCCTCTTTAAGGTGATGCTGGGGGTCCAAAAGACCCTCAGTGTCACCTTTACACTAGAAATGAGCTATTGAAGTGCAGATCGCACTTCAATAGCTTATAGCTGGGCTGCAGGAGCCCAGAACTGACAGCCCAGGGACCGGAAGTGATGCAATCTGCATCGCTCCCGGTCCCATAGAACGGGGAGGGGATCGATGAACGGAAGTTCGTCGACCTCCTCCCCAGCTCCCCGCGGACACAAAGATCGCCGGTCCCGGGCCCGTAGGAGGGGCAACGGAGCCCGGGAAGCACGGCGGGGGTGTCCGGCGGGGGGGGGCGGCCCCTTCTTCGGGACGCAGAAGCGATCTGGCGACAGGTAAGTCGCCAGGATCGCTTCTGTTGTAAAGCCGACAGTCGGCTCTACAAGTTTAAACAGAGTCCCGGCGGCAAAAGTCGCCGGGAGTCTGTTTAAACAGCCCCGATGCTGGCGACGTACACTGTACGTCGTCAGTCACGAAGGGGTTAATGTCACTTTAATTTTTTTTGCTGAACTTTATTGAAATGTCACAATTAAGATTTCATTCAGTTCTATGGGTATACTCTTGTACCATGCCTCACTGAGATGCACTTAAAAAAAAAAAAAAGTACTGCATGCTGTACTTTTTTTTTAAGTGCACACCAGAGGAACGCAGTGTTGTGAGCCAAGCCCATCCATGACAAGGCAAAACGCCTTGTCTTGTGTTTGAACTGTGCTGGAACGGTCAACTCTGCCCAAACGCAGATGGTGTGAACCGGGCCTTGTACATTCTAGCATTGTAGCTAGGTATACCACAAGGTTTATTAACATTGAAGTGACTTTAAACCCTCAGATTTTTTAACATAAACCAATACTGTAATGTGCGCCTTACTGTAATCCATGGTTGTTTCCCTTCTCTTTGCTGCTCTTCCTTTTTAAATCTGTATCTCTTCTCATGCTGGGCAGAACTTCTGTTTTGCAGCAGACTGCCTTGTCTCTGGAATGGCTACATGGTGTCTGTGTGTAGGTTTGCAACCTGAGCCGGCACTACAGGAAGAGTCACTCAGCTGCAAAGGGAAGTTCTCCCCCAGCATGAGAAGAGATAAGGATTTAAAAGGAAGAGTAGCAAAGAGAAGGGAAACAACCATGGATTACAGTAAGGCACACATTACAGTATTGGTTTATGTTAAAAAATCTGAGGGTTTAATGTCACTTTAAGGTGCAACTGAAGCCAAAACCTCTTTTTTTTTCAGTTTTGGATAGAGTAAAGAGAGATTAGAACAGCTGTCTGGTTTATTGCTGTCTGTGTCTTCGGTTTGGAGATGCACCCTATTAGTCCTGATGACCCTTAATACTGAAAGAAAATCCCAAATTTTGGGTTGTCGTCAGAACAGGAATAGATTGGAAATCTTGTTATGGGGACACCAGTTCTGACACCAGGGATTTCTCTCACTTTGGAGGTTGTGTTCTATTGAAAGTTCCAACTCGTCGAGATCTCCAACGACCTGACTTCCGGTTTAGTTAGAAGTAAGAGGTTTGGCTGTACTGCACGTGTGCCAACCGCAGCATTTCCCTATACACATACTACACAGCAATAAAGTATTATAATGAACCAGGGTAAGACTAATCCAGCACATTATTAATCTGAGTTGGCCCATATTGAGCGGGGCAACTCCGATAAATAACGACCCAAGTCACACCTCACTGGACCGCACGCCATTGCAGTACCTCATGTTCCGGTGCAAGCAATCAAACTGTTGGTGGGAGGTGTGTTTGGGGTGCCATTTACATGAATTTCAACGCACTTTCTGCACCAGAAGGAACAGTAGGTGCGGCTGCACGGTAGTTTGCGATTAAAACACTGACAGACACAATCTCACGTACTCAGAGACATTCTCACGCACACATACCAAAAACACACATAAAAAGAGCGCTACTACTGTGAGAGTGATTATGACTCGCGTTTAGATGTCCGCGATGTGGGTCTGAATACCTCAGAAGAGCTCGTCTGACGTCCATGTAACATGTGGCTTGACTGAGAGGTGGTATTTCAATAAGCTCGTGGCTTAAAAAACTGGAATGTCAGTGAGAGCGGTGTCCGCCGTCTGCACAGGCTCAGCTGGCCAGGCTAAGCCGCGACGGCAGAACAAAAGAGTGTTAGTGCCGAACGGCTCTGAGTACAGAGTGGTCGCTCAGTGCTGTGAGTAGGCAACTCTAGTGACAGGAAGTCACAATGGGGTGACATAAGGTGGAACTGGGGAGCAATGTGACTGGTGGGATCTCTCCAACTGGTGGCTACGCGTTTCGAGTCGCAGCCTCTTTGTCAAGCCTGGGTGAATGGTACAGTCAGGCACACATACACACCCAAATTTTTTTTAGGGGCTCAGTGTGGGCTACTGTGCTGTGACGAAGCTCCATTCATACGTGCATTGCTTGTACACCTCCCTTGCATTCCCTATAGAGGTCCCGGGATATGCTGCATTTTCCTCAAAAAAAGACGTGCAATTCAACATTTATGCTTTAAAAGACCCTGTCACCTCCAATGTGCTATCACATGGGGGCTTGTGAGCTGGGAAAAAAAAAGTTGGGTACAAAAAGGACAATTGCGCTACACATGTCAGGTATCACCGCTTGGGCCAATTAAAACTTGCCATTGAAAATAAAGCTTTGTTAGTTTAAGGGCTCATTCACATGAGAATCGGCCGGCACTTACAGCTCCGTGCTGCGCGCACGGCCATATCGAGCAGCTCCTGGGAAGGACAGGTGCTGCGTGTGATATTAGTACGCAGCCCCTGTCCTTCTCTATGGGACTACGCGGCCGTACACCCCCCTACGCTCACCTCAAGTGCAGGTCCATACGGGTGCGGGTGTCCCAGATCGGACGCAGCGTAGGAGTACGCTCACCCGCACTGACGTGCAGGTTGGGTGAGTGTAGGGCGGCGTACGGCCACGTACTCCCATAGAGAATGACGGGCTGCGTACTAATCATGCGCAGCACCTGTCCTTCCCGGGAGATGCCCGGTACGGCCGTGCACGCAGCACAGAGCTGTACCTGCCGGCCGATTCTCGTCTGAATGAGGCCTACAAATAAACAGAACTGCCTCCTAACTTTTTTATAGATGGCTCCTGGATTCAAAGCAAATTTGTCAAGTTCTGTTTTTTTATACCTGAAAAACTTACATGATGCAGATTATGCCCGATACACAAAATGTTTGCGTGACCAGAATGTCTAATAAAAATGTTTCTTTAAACAACAACTAGTAAAGCCATTCGGTCGGCATTACAGCCAAACAAACTATCATTTTGAAAAGAAAGCCAGCAGTCCGTGGATGCCTCTTGGTATGGGGGCTTGCAAAATGTTTCCTCTATGATGCGGAATATATTACAGTTAATGGAGGAAAGAGACCGTTGTGGGTGTACAGTATCTTATCAGTCAGCTGCCTAGAATTGTTGCTCTTCATGACTCTGGGACATTAGTGTTATGAAGATATCAGCACACATTCAGCATTGACTGCAGGGAAATGTGTCAGGCATTCTTTTAATCTTGGGTCCATCCATTTTTAAATACAGTAATACCTGGGTTCACAAACGCTTCTGTTCGCGAACAATTCTGTTTTGCTTCCATTTGCGAACTCCAAATCGGGTGACGAACACGGCCATCTTTCCCGCTCTGACACGTGGTCGTGGCTTACTCTAGTTGTGGTCCCAGACAGACCTGTGCACACTTGCTGTGATGCCTTTTTGTGTGCTTTTTAGCACATAAAGTACTGTACAGTATTATTCAATCCAGCATGGCTCCAAAGAAGGTGCAGAGCAAGCAGCATGGTGGCAAAAAGAAAGTGCGGAGCTAGCATGGTGGCAAAAAGAAAGTGCGGAGCTAGCATGGTGGTAAAAAGAAAGTGCGCAGCAAGCATGGTGGTAAAAAAGTGCGGAGGGAGCATGGTGGTAAAAACTGCGGAGCTAGCATGGTGGTAAAAAGTAAGTGCGGAGCTAGCATGGTGGTAAAAAGAAATTGCGCAGCGAGCATGGTGGTAAAAAGAAAGTGCGCAGCGAGCATGGTGGTAAAAAGAAAGTGCGGAGGGAGCATGGTGGTAAAAAAGTGCGGAGGGAGCATGGTGGTAAAAAAGTGCGGAGCGAGCATGGTGGTAAAAAAGTGCGCAGCGAGCATGGTGGTAAAAAAGTGCGCAGCAAGCATGGTGGTAAAAAGAAAGTGCGCAGCAAGCATGGTGGTAAAAAGAAAGTGCGGAAAAAGCATGGTGGTAAAAAGAAAGTGCGGAAAAAGCATGATGGTAAAAAGAAAGTGCAGAGCGGTAATGAAGGTGACAAGAATGTGCAGAGCGGTAATGAATTTACATATGGTTCAGAACGGATTAACCTAATTTACATTGAACCTTATGGGGAAATTTGATTCGGTTCGCGACCTGAATCGTGGAACAAATTAAGTTTGTGAACCGAGGCACCACTGTACTACTAGTCTGACAACCTCAAATCTGTTTTGTTTTTACATTGTGCTTCCATATAACCCCACTTAAGGCAAAGTGAGAGTTCCTCCTGATAGTCCACCTCCCCAGCAATGTATACTCCCTCTCTGCATTCTCATTCCATTGGAGGCTCTCCCTAACAGAGGACATGGACAGAAATAATCATATTATCACTCGCAATCACACATTTTTGATGTTTATTAAAACTAGAGCAAAAGTGGAGCTGTTATCAAGAAGAACCAATCAGATTCAACAAGGATCTGGTTGCCATGAACAATGATTCTGTTTTTGTTTATTTTCTTTCCTCCATATATAATGTATGTCGGCCCTTTTGTGTCAGACAATGATGCAGCTCCTAATGACTTCTCATTTTTGCTTTCTGTCTTTCCTACAGGGGACGTCTATGGACAGCTGTTGGCCTACCTCAGCCTATTACCAATCTTCATTCTCGTCAGTTTTGTGACGCTAATTATCTTCAAGAGAGAACTTCACACGGTCAGGTCACACATCGTTAGCACAGTCTTCTTTGCTTTTATGCCGTTGTCCCAAATCATGACATCTCACGGGCTCTTTCTGTTTGCAGATTTCCTTTCTGGGGGGCTTGGTAATGAACGAAGGTGTAAACTGGTTAATAAAGAATATAGTGAGGGAGCCGCGTCCTTGTGAAGGTGAGTCCATGCGTGGTGAAGGCTCACTGCCCCCGATTGCCCTGTGTGGGGAAAGCTTGTTGAATTTGATCTGTAGAAGATGCTGTTTTTATACTTGGAAATTTCTTCCCTTCATTTGACAGGGACACACTCAACAGTCACAACAGAGTATGGGTTACCTTCCAGCCATTCTCAGTTCATGTGGTTCTTTTTTGGGTATTCATTCCTCTTCCTTTATTTAAGGTGAGCTACATTGTTAAAAATTTAAAAAAAGGAAAGTAGCCCTCCCTGGTGTATAGCAGGCACCCTCTTGTGCTTAAAGGAGAACTATGGTGTTAAGGCTTTTCCCCATAGTTCTCCTAAGGGTGGACAAACTAGCGTCCTCCCGTCACCCAAAGCTCAGTATATCACGAGCTACAGTTTGCAGTATACTGAGACACCGCAGCCAGGACGGATCCCGACAATACTGGCTGGATCCACCCAGTTGCTTGATTGACAGCTGGCTCTGCCTATCTAGAGGCAGAGCCAGCTGTACCTGCCCCCTCCGTTCAGACAGTCAGCGCTGGATGTTCGGGGAGGGGGAATCCATGCAGGGAGCCGTGAGTGACAGTCACCTCTCTCTGCAGGGATAGATCGAGAAGTGAGCGAGCGACGGTATGTGTTCGCTCACTTCCCGATCTATTGAGCCGACGTGTGACAGTTTTATTGTCACATGTCGGCTAGAACTATGAGGCTGAGTGATTTTCACTCGCCTCATAGTTCTCCTTTAAGATCAATTTCCATTCACTTACCAGAGGAAGCAGGGGCGTCCCGAGGCTGGGTGTCACCCGGAGCGGAGACCGGGTGACACCCCGCCGTGACGTTATCGCGCATGCACGGTTGTCTTATTGACGCCTGCCGGCAGCCATCTTGTTGATGGACGCCGGCAGTGAGAGGAGAGGACGTTCACCAGACGGGATGAGGTATGCCGCCGGGTCCCCTCCTCTCTCCTAAATCCAGTGTACCCATCGCACTCCTGACCGGATAATACCTTAGAGTTGGGTGGGTGCCAAAGTGACTGCAGATGCCTCTGCAATCCAAGATAAGTATATATATAAAGTCACTCGCACTCCAAAAGAACTTCAAGTCAAAAACGGTTTATTGACTCGATTGCTATCACATCATATAGCGACGTTTCGGAACAACATCGGTTCCTTCTTCAGGCAAACAAAATGTGAAACACCACAGTACAAGTGCAGCTATATACACATGGTGAGAAAGACAGTGGACCAATCACATGAACACGTGTTCCGTTGATGGAAAGACTATGCATTCCCGCCATAATGATGATATAACAAAGCATCACATGTAAGACATTACCCAGATCAATCAGGATCGTCTGGCCCTTTAAGAGTTCTAAATGTGCTGCCATGTTGCCTCTGGCCTTGCTGCAAACTACCACATGTGCTCCTGAGCTAGCTCCACCCCAAACACTATCCAAGTGTGGAGATGGGCGGGATCTCTAGCTCCATGGAGACTATGTCTCTCTCGACCTGCAGCCCGATTGGAGAGAACCCTCGTCCGCATGGCATAAGCGTTGCCTGGCAACCAGGCATATGATGTGATAGCAATCCAGTCAATAAACCGTTTTTATGACTTGAAATTCTATTGGAGTGCGAGTGACTTTACACATACACCCTCCTCTTTTCTGACACTGTCGGGCTCTCTGTCTGTGACTGATTGCCCGACTTTTCATAGGGGGTGACACCAAAAGGACTGTCCAGTCATTTTGGTGTTACCCCTCCAATGGTGAAGCATCCATACACAGCTTCCGGTCCAGCAAGGAGAACAGTGAGGAGCGTAATTGTGAATTTTTCAGTCACCGAATCTCCTAAGACTAGTCAGAGGCAGCAGTGCCTTAGAGATCTAACACTGCAGACATACTAGCTATGAAGCAACAGAACTGGAGAGCCTAGGCACAGTCGCATCACATGCAATACATCGATGTATTCCCACTTCATAAGCAAACTTAAACTGACTTGGTCATTCTAAATTCCATCTCATGATGCTTTCTTATCAGAATGCACCAGACCAACAACGCTCGGTTCTTGGACCTGCTCTGGCGTCACGTGCTGTCTCTGTGTCTCCTGACAGCAGCATGTCTTGTGTCGTATAGTAGGTAAGGACAATAGTGTTTACATGCTGTCATGTGTACCTGCAGGTGCATTCGTTGTGCTGCATTCTGTTTAACTCCTGTGCTTTTCTGGCAGAGTGTATCTCATGTATCACAGCTGGAGTCAAGTTTGGTATGGCGCTGTGGTTGGAAGCTTGTTGGCTCTAGCCTGGTTTATTTTCACACAGGAGATCCTAACGCCGCTGTTCCCAAGAATCGCGGCCTGGTAAGCTATGATCATTCATAGAAATTGGAATTCTGTCTAAACATGATGGATTCTGTCTTGAAATACTTCTATCTGTAAAGGACAATCAAATAATTGCCCATAAATGATTAAAGTAACTTTATTAGAGAAACGCATGTAGTCTGCTTTAGGGCTGGGTTCACACCTGGGCGTTCCAAATAGGAGCGTTTTATGCCCGTTTTTTTAGCACGTTTCAAAATGCGCGTTCGACGCACGGCTTTTAACCTCCCTGGCTGTATGATTTATTTTTTTTCTAACTTTTTAAACTTCCCGCCGGCTCCGCCCCCCTGCGACGCAGACGCTCGCAAGGGACAAAAGACGGCAGCGGCTGAAGGACACAGCGGGGATCGCAGACAAGGTAAGACCTACGCTGTATTCCCGAGTGTGGCTCGGGGGGTTACCGCTTTGTTAACCCCGAGCCACACTCGGGAATACCAATGGATAGGCGCTGAAATACGCCCCAAAGAAGCGCCTGTACTATTTCGGGTGTAGGGCGTTTTTCAGCGCCACAAATCGCGCTGCAATACGCCGAGGTGGGAACCATGTCCATAGCACTCGATAGGATTTCACTTGCTGAGCGTTTTTTTTAGCACCGAGAAACACCCACGTGTGAACCCGGCCTAGAAGTGATTTTGAAGCTTTTGCTGCCCACTGAAGACTCAAATTCTTGTCATAGAGGAAACTAGTATTGCCCTATTCACAGCAGTAGTCCAGAGTATGATGTTCAGTGTGATTGTGCTTTGTTGTCAGCCTTTTATAGTCTAAACAGTTTTGGGGTACATTTATAAGTACCGTATTTTGCGGTCGATAAGACGCACCGGACCATAGGATGCAGGGAGGTCCGGCGCGCCTTATGGAGCACTCGACAGACTGTAGCTTCTGACACAGCTGCTGTGACAGAAGCTGCAGTTAGTGACCGCTGAGACAGGTGGCGCTGTGATTACAGCGCCACGGTCTCAGTGATCACACAGAGCAGACGAAGAAAGTCCGTTCTTCGTCTGCTCTATGGTCTCGATCGTCGCCGCTGCTCGGTTTTAATACGAGTGATCTCATTAGATCACTCGTATTGAACGAGCAGTGGCTCCTGCTGCTGAACTTGATAGCTGCCGCCGCTGCTCGGCTTTAATACGAGTGATCTCATTAAATCACTCGTATTAAACGAGCAGTGGCTCCTACTACTCGCCCGGCGCCCGAAACTGCATGTCTCGGGCGTCGGGATTCGCTCCATAAGACGCAGTCACATTTTCCCCCTCCTTTTGGGGGGAAAAAAGTGCGTCTTATGGAGCGAAAAATACGGTATATACACAGCGACCCGCAGAAGTATTTAAACCAAGAACACGGCGGCCTGGCACAGCCGTGTTCTTGGTGTCATTTCAATGAATGACTTCCCCTTCCCTAGGCTCCGCTGTCCCTGTCCCCCCCAGGACAGGACCCGGGACCAGCATGACTGGTCTCCCTGCAACGATCGGAGAGAGATTCAGCAGCTTCCAGCCGCTGATCTCTCCTCTGATCACTGGACCCAGAACTGATGTGTAATAAATCAGGCCTTCTTAAACTTTCTCCACTTGTGATCCCTTTTTGGCCGAGGAAATTTTTACGTGACCCCCAACGTCGGGCGGTGTCTTTCCCCCCAGTGTCGGGCGGTGTCTCCCCCCTCCCCTAGCGTAAGGTCGGTGTATCTCTGCAGCATCGCTCAGTGTCTTTCTCCTCTTCTATCCATCCCCCACTATCGCCAGTCAGCGTCTCTCTCCTCTTCTCTCCCCTCCCCCAGCTGCGGTCAGTGTCTCTCTCCCCTCCCCCAGCGTCGGTCAGTGTCTCTCTCCAGCGTTGGTCAGTGTCTCTCCTCTTCTCTCTCCCCCCCGGGATTTGTTGTATTCCTCTATAGCTGCTGGTATTCTGCATTGCGCTGTATAATGTACTATATGGCACACCACACTTCTTTTTTTTTTTTTTTTTTTTTTTTTTTTACTTCCACTGCTCCAAGCTTGCTTCCATGATGGACTACGATCTCAATACAAACTAATAGTCCATCACTGGAGCCATTTTTTTTTTTTTTATCCGATTAACCAAACTTAATAATTGGCTAACTAATTGATTTTGAAAATTGCTGTGGCCGGGCACAGCAATTGAGGGGCAAAGATAAAGGTAGTGGGACCTCCTTAAAAAGACCCTGTTGCTTTGCTCTCTCTGGTTTTCAACTGGTGGGTCGCGACCCCGTTTTCAGTGGGACGCTGTGTGCCTTCCACTTTTCTATGTGAGAGGCTCCTCAGCCTCCCCCTAGCACAGCACTGTCAGTTCTTGCGCTCAGCAGCCATTCGGGAATATGCTGCCTGGTGCCAAGTGTCAGCTTGGGGTGGGGTTGTGTGGGCTGGGTCTATGGCCATGAGGGAGCTCCATCTATACATGCATTGCTTACAGCTCCCTCACATGTCCTGTAGAGGTGCCTGGACTGGAGTGACATCACATTCTGGCTCCCGGCACCTCTACAAGGTGCACAAGGGAGTTGCACAAGCAGTGCATGTATGGATGGAGCTTCATCAAAGCCCAGCACTGGACCCCAAGCTGAGGATCACCTGCACCGGAATGCACGGTACCGCAATGCCGTGCGACTTGGGTCGCCACTTAATGTCCAAGGACAAATGTGGGCCCTGAGGTTACACAGGTTGAGAACCTTTGCTTTAACCCGTTGTTAGGACAGTCAGTGTTCAAATCTACTTTACAAATAATAATGAAATGAGCCAGCACAGTACAGACCGGGTTCACACAAACTCCTCGCAGCCCATCCTAGCAGGAGAAGCCAAGTAGAAGGTTTAGCTTATGCGATGTGGATGGGAACATGTAACAGATATAAAATAGGTGTGATCACAATTTGCAAAAGTGGAAATACACTTTCATTCTGTTACATAGATTTATATTTGTTTTGTATTTTGTTGTCCACAGGCCAATCTCCGAATTCTTCCTTATTCGTGACACCAGTTTGATCCCCAACATCTTGTGGTTTGAGTACACAGTCACCCGATCAGAAGCCAGGTAAATCGGTTGTTTTTTTTTTAAAGGAGAACTATGAGGCGAGTGCTTTTCACTCACCTCATAGTTCTAGCCGACCTGTAACAATGAGACTGTCACAGGTCGGCTCAGTAGATCGGGAGGTGAGCGAACACATACCGGCGTTCGCTCACTTCTCGATCATGTCACGGCTCTCTGCCGTGACAGGGGAGGGGCTGGATTCCCCCCTCCCTGCTCCGATCCTTCAACGCTGACTGGCGGAATGGACGGAGGAGGGGGCGGGTACAGCTGGTTCTGACTCTAGATAGGCAGAGCCAGCTGTCACTCACGCAGCTGGGCGGATCCAGACATAATTGTCAGGATCCGCTTCAGCTGCGGCGTCTCAGTATACCGCGAGCAGTAGCTCGCGGTATACTGAGCTTAGGGTGACGGGAAGACGCTAGTTTGTGTCCTCCCGTTTCCCTAAGGAGAACTATGGGGAAAAGACCTAACCCCATAGTTCTCCTTTTAATAGGCTCTTGGTATTAAATAGACTTTATAGACACAGAAATAACATTTGCTCAATATATTACTATTGTTCAGTCATTTACACTCCTTCATGAGGATTGTCCAATCTTCTGGGGGGAAAAACCTGCTTCTAGAAAAGGGGGGGGGAAACGACCCTAAAGAGATTCAGTGCACACATTCTAATTTATTCTACACATAAACATTATTCTCCTGGAAATTGGAAATAATCCAGACTCGGCCTAGAATGTGTTACAGTAGATCCACATTGATGAGCTTTGCATAGAGGGGACGGTTGGGAATTTCTGTCACATTTTTTATTGCCATTTATATCCAGTTTCCCTAACTGTCTGTTTTGTTGACAGAGGCTTTATTGATTCCTTATTGTATCCAAATTGAAGCTCCTATTTAAAAGGTTATTAAAGCCTCCGTTTATTTTGCATATATTTACGGCTAGCAAGCAGTAAATATATATGCAAAAGCTTAAAAAAAACCAAAAAAACAACGCTTTAAAAAAGGTTAACACTTACCTGTGTATTCCCCGCGCGGTCCCGTCCGCAAATGTGAAAATTGTCGGGCGGCCGCAAAGCATCTTGGGGCGGGCGCATGAGCAGATCACATTTTCGGCCGGGAGAGGAGACACAAGGTAAGTCTATGGACGCGTGTACCCGCATGCAGACACCGTGGGACAGGAAGTGACAGCAAGCTCAGAGTAGTCAGCGCTGGATCGGAGACCCGCAGCAGCGCTGGAGGGACAGATGAAAACGACAGGAAAGAAGAAGAAGATCGGATTAAGGTAAGTGCTTACACTAACATTGGGGGGAGGGGAAAAAAAATTATTTGACTTTAATGTCACTTTAACATTGGGGGGAGGGAATTTTTTTTTATCCTTTAATGTCACTTTAAGTTTGTTTCATATTCTTATGAATGAAGTCCTTGAACCCATCGCACTCGAAACCTCTGTTCCAAAGATAATGAGGGTGGGGGCTGCGGCTGTCGACGGTTGGCAACCGTGGTCAAAAAGCAAACAAAATATATAGACACCGGTGTTCCATCAAAGATTGTGACTGGGTTGGAATGTGTGACCAGTCATGTGGTCAAACATTTTACGTACTTGCGCCCATTTTTTCGGCAGTAGAATATGTGACCGGCAAAAGCTGAAGAATTCCAACACTTTCTCAGCTGTTCCAGGGCAGATCGGCATCGCAGATGGTATTGCAGGAGAACCGATCTGCTCTGGAACAGCTGATCGGTCCTGAAATGTCACTTCTATCTGACTTTGTGGAATGCTTAATCGCAGTCATAAAGTCAGATAGAAATCACATTTCAGGGCAGATCAGTTCTCCTGCACATACCATCTGCAATGCCGATCTGCCCTGGAACAGCTGAGAAAGCGTTGGAATTCTTCACCTTCTGCCGGTCACACATTCCACCGCTGAAAAAGTGGGCGTGAGTACGTTAAAATGTGTGACCACGTGACTGTTCACACATTCCAAAAAACTGGACGGGATTATGTTAAAATGTGTGACCAAGGAATTGGTCACACATTCTAACGCAGTCACAAACTTTGATAGAACACCAGCACTCCAATAGCAAATCAAATACGTCTGTTTATTGACGTATGAGCAGCATAATGTGATACACTCAAGCATTGAGTGCATCGCGTTATGCTGCTCATACGTTCGGTGTCTATATATTTTGTTTGATATTCTTATGAATGACTGTGTAAAATAAAACTTCTTCAATATATTTTATAGATCTGTTTGGCCTCAGGGGTGTGGAATTCCTATCGCCCGACGCCCGGGACATGCAGTTTCAGGAGCCAGGCGAGTGTTCTTTTTTGTACATTTAGCCCTGCTCCTGACAAGCGGAGCTAAATGTACAGCATGGGGCCGCCGCTCGTTTTTATACAAGTGACCTGATCAGATCTCTTGTATCAAATCGAGCGGCGGTGTCTGGGCCCCCTCGCCACAGTTTTCGGGGTTCACTGCTCTGGGGGGGGTGACCGGTGAACACAGCACATGAGCTCACCATAGAGCCTGTAGAGCAGACGAAAGAATGTCCGCTCTGTGAGACCAGAGCACTGTAATCACAGCGCCACCTGTCTCAGCCGTCAGGAACTGCACAGAACATCTGTTCTGTGTTGGAGGGCAGGTTCCATAAAGAGAACCTGTCACCACCAAACTATCACATAGGGGCTTTGTCAGGGGAGGTAGGAGAACTCCATATTAATGTCCATGGTTTTACAATGGGATGTCCAGGAAGCTCATATAGGTGTGATGGTCAGGTGTCTATAATACTTAATACTTTTCCCAATTGTAAATTGTTTGCTAGGAGCAACACCTCTGTCCCTGGTAATTTGTTTAATTGTTTCCTTTTGTTATCACTATTCTTCCAGAAACAGACAACGCAAACTCGGTACAAAGCTTCAGTGAGTCAACAACGAGCAAACTGACAGGGCGGGGTATGACGGTAGCGTCCACAATATCACGGCAGTCGGAAGGAACCTGAAGCCAGTACAGCCCATGGCGCACCGAGGAACACTTAAACTGACGGACCAAAAAGAGAAAGAAAGAGGCCTTCACTGGGTTTACAATGCCCGTCTTGCCAGTGGCCCTCCTCTGCATGTCAGGACTGGGGCCAACGCACTCACATGCACGCTGTTCAATGATCAGTCGATTGGTGGAAGACAGACTAATGGAATATTATAAGAGCTATTAGCTTTTTGTTTATTTTTTCCCCCTTTAATAACTTCCTCCAACTTTCCCCGAAAGAAATGCAGAAAGAACTGAAGCGTTTTTATTGCATGAATAGCCACCTTTTTATTTATATATTTTTTAAAAATATAACTTAAACCTAATAAGTATGAGGTGGATAATGCTGTGAATTCCGGGAACTTTTTTTGGATAATGCTGCGCCTTTTTTTTGGGAGGGGGGAGGGACTTGTGCTCACATACTCTGTTGAACGTGGATGGTAAAGCACTCAAGAACCCGTGCTTTAACAACCGGCGTGCTCGGCAGGATGTCTCACTATACTGCAGCTATGCTCGCCGCGGTGCCTATAGAAAGACGACAGCTGGAGGGCTTGACGCAATTCCTGTTGCACTTTGAACAAGATTTCAATTTAAGGACTACAAATAACCCTTTTAACACTAGTGATCTTTGGTTTTTTTAAATAATTGTTTGTGTGGAAAAAAAAAAGATATAAGAGGAAGGTAGGAGTGTTAGCAGAGCGGTTACTTATTAAGGATGATTTCTGTAGTAGCTGGGGAGCTGACGAAGCTCCAGAGCAGTGGTCCCAATCCAGTGGCTGGTAAGTCACATGGGGCTCTTGGCTGCCTTTTGATGTTGCTGGCAGCAGCGTCTCAGCGGGCGCTCAGTTCCCGTACATCTAACTACCCCACTGCATTATGCATTTCCCGTAAGCATGAAACAAACAAAAAAGAGGTTGCCTGATTTATATAATTCATTAAACCGTTCAACTTGATTCTAAACAAGAAGTTTTTGAGTGTTCTGTTTTTAGTTGATTGTGACTTGCTTGTTTTATGTCGGTGCTGACAACGGTTGGAGACTTCTGCTCTATAGCAGTGGTTGTCAGCCTGTGTAACCTCAGGACCCACATTTGGCCGTAGTCATTTAGTCGCGACCCAAGTCGCATCGCAAATGGAACGCACGGCATTGCGGTACCGCGTGTTCCGGTGCGGGCGATCGAATCGTGGGTGGGAGGTGCGTTTGGGATGCCATTCAAAAGATCCACCCAGTCTCCATACCGTACAAGAGCTGGAGTTGATTCTCAGCCTGTGGTCCGGTGTGGGCTGCTGTGCTGTGATTGAGCTCCATCTATATGTGCATTGCTTGAACAGCTCCCTTGCGTGCCCTGTAGAGGTGTCGGGAGCCACAATGTGACATCACTCCGGGCCGGTCACCTCTACAGGACATGCAAGGGAGTTGTACGTATGGATGGAAAATCCATTCAAAAGATCCACCCAGTCTCCATACCTTACAAGAGCTGGAGTTGATCCTCAGCCTGGTGTCCAGTGTGGGCTGCTGTGCTGTGACGGAGCTCTATCTATATGTGCAATGCTTGTACAGCTCCCTTGCGTGCCCTGTAGAGGTGTCGGGAGCCACAATGTGACATCACTCTGGTCCAGTCACCTCTACAGGACATGCAAGGGAGTCGTACGTATGGATTATTATTCAGGATTTATATAGCTCCAACAGTTTGCGCAGCGCTTTACAATATAAGGAAGACATTACAATGACAAGACAAGATGGTAAGGAGGGCCCTGCCCCTGAAGGCTTACAATCTAGAAGGGAGGGGGAAGTGATACACAAGGAGGTAGCTGTGTGGGGATGAATTGTTTGATAATGTGATGGTTGAGCGGTTAGGTTGAGGTGGTATAGGCTTCCCTGAAGAGATGAGTCTTTAGGGAATGCCTAAAGGCAGTCAAGGTGGGAGATAGATGGGCAGGTTGGGCTAAAGAGTTCCAGAGGATGGGAGAGACTCTAGAGAAGTCTTGGAGGCGAGCATGGGAGGAGTTGACAAGGGAGCTGGAAAGCAGGATGGAGCTCCCTCATGGCCATAGCCCCAGCCCATCCCACCTCAAGCAGACACTCGGGACCGGGCAGCATATTTTGAATGGCTGCTTGGAGAGAGAGAGAGAGAGAGAAAACAGACAAGAGGAGCCTCTCACCTAGCCAAATGGAAAGCATACGGCGACCCACTGAACACCAGGTCCTGACCCACTTTTGGGGAACCAATGCTCTATAGCCTCCCACGTGGGTCACACTGGGTAAAGCCAATATTAAACACATATCCAAAGGAATGGTTTGTTGGTTTGCTTGCCTACCTGTCATGGCCAAAAGTCTAGTAGAATAGTGGTGATGTCACTGTCTCTTCTGACTCTTATGAAGGATAGCTTCTCCTTTCTATGAAGATGCGCCACTGCTGGTAAAGCCTACCGGCCTCCTGAGATTTATAGAAGCTGGTTAGACAAAGGAAAATAATATCTCCCAAAGTACAGTTTTAAAGGGAATCTGTTGCTAAAGATGACCTGCAATGATAGAAATATGGAAGCTGCCATTGCTTACCTCCCATAGGGTCCATTCTCATGGGCAGGAATCCCAGGTGTCCTGTTGCACCATGTACGATTACATGCGGCCTGTCATTTCAATGCATTCCTGCCGCAGGAATCCATACATAGGCTTTTACCGGAAGAATGCCAGATCCCCATTATTCTCATCGCAGACTTTGCTTCCTGCTTTTGCTGTGCTACTCAATGGTTGTACGTTACGGCCCCTTCTCAAAGAAAATCAGTGAGTTGGCGGCAAACTCAATGAAAAAAAACATTCCCCTGTATGGCTGATATATTTCCAGTGTGTCAAAGTCTAAATCATTTTGGTTAGAGTAGGGAGGGAATACAAATGCTGTCTTTTGTTTTCTTTGCTATCTTTGTCTTATTAGGGAGAATTCCCTTCCTGTCCTGTAGACTCGATAGGACAAAGTGAGAGGATATTTTTCCAATGTGAGGGAGATCCCCTCTTGGACAATTGTCATGGGAGCAAGTTGTCCCCGTTTGGAAGATTTCCCCTCTATTCCTGTTCTGGTGACAACTCAAACATTTGGGTTTCTCCTCACTTTCATTCCCAGTGACTTTGGTGATCAGGACAATTAGAATGAATCTCCCCAACAGGGACACACAGAGTAATAAAAGCCTGATTGTGGTTCTAACCCCTCACCGCTACCCAAATCTAACTAAAAAAACAAAAAACCCCAAAACACAGTTGTACCTTTTAGTTATACTAACGTCACCGCCTCTCATCCAATCAGTTCATTAAAAAAAATGCTAGGCGTCCTCTGAATGGCCGCTATACCCAGCCGAGTCACTCTCTGGGGCGAATTTATCAAAACCGAAGCAGACAGAATACGGAACAGTTGTCCATGGCAACCAATCAGCTTCAATCTTTCATTTAAATTAACAAACTGAAGAGAGCAGCTGATTGGTTTACAGCACCGTTTAGACTCCTGATATTTCCCCCAGAGCCCCCAGTAAAGTAAATTAATGACTCGCTCAATGCTATTTGGCCGGCTTGATGCAGATTGGCTGGGAAGCTGGCTACCCGGCTTATCAGCATGAAGCCGGCTTCTCGGCCAATAAGGAAGCCGGGTGACGGGTAATGGCACGCCGCCCGTCTTCCTGCTTGCCCGGGAATCCACCTCCATGCTAGTGGAAGTACCAGTATCTATGGGACTACGCGGCCATACGCTCATCTCAAGTGCAGTTCCGTGCGGTTGCGGGTGTCCCGGCTCGGGCGCAGACAGGATCCATCCTGTCAGCGTACGAGCACGCTCACCCGCATACAGGGTGAGTGAGCGTATGGGGGGCGTTCGGCCGCGTAGTCCCATAGAGAAGGACGGGGGCTGCGTACTAATCACACGCAGTACCTGTCCTTCCCGGGAGCTGCCCTTCACGCAGCACGGAGCTGTACGTGCCTGCCTTTTCTCGTGTGAATGAGGCCTTAGTTTTCTGCCTTTTCCCTATAGATGAACCTGGTAACAACACAATTCCTGTCCTGGGGTATCAACGATCACATCCCGTATTATACCTATGAAGAAGCAGCAGCCACCCTAGGCTGCACTCCTGATTTGAACTACAAACACCTCCCCTTTTCCTTAACTCCCATTACCTAGTGGGGAAGGAGGTTTGCAGTAGATAGCTGGGAAAGCCACATGACAAACACAATGACACTGAACTCTGCCAGCGCCCAATACTACTGCTCTAAGACAATATTACAAACCAGAACTCGTGTGCGGCATCAGTACACTCCACAACATCCGAGAATCATTTCTGATCCATACAGGTTTATTAGAAATATTGTTAGCAAATGCTGGAAAAGTCCATTAATCACAGTTACAGAAGTAAACATCATCTCAATAACAAATGAAGAACTCACAATTAGACCGGTAAGACACTTTAAAAAAAATCTTATGCGGTGCTTTCAAGTCTAGATGGATTCATGGCGACATTGGAGTTGATAATCTTGTGGTGGTGCATTCAACTATCAATTTTCACAACACATTTCAATGGAGCACAACGTGGGACATATCTTTCTGTGTAAGTCGGTGCTTTGTATAAAGATAACCTGTTGCTGGACCGTTCATTTTAACAATCCTTCCGTAAGCTTATATGCGCATTTAACATATCTTATGCATGTGATTTACCTGTACAAACTGGGACTGCTGCCAGGTGACTCCATATTGGATGTGATGTCGGCAGATTTAGAGCCGTCAGTCAAGTGACACTCTATAGCAGGGGGTACTCCAATTCTGGCCCTCCCATCATGCATCAGCCTCTGGGAGCCACGTCTGTGGTTGTCAGTCTTGAAATGCTTTATAGGACTTATAGTTCTACAGCAGCTGGAGGGCCAAAGTTTGGCTACCCCTGCTCTCTAGTATTCCCCTTCATTCCTCCCCCAGCAGCTACATAAAAGATAATGTTAAAAGGTAAGTGCTGCGCAAACTGGTGGCACTATATAAATCCTCTATAATAATAATGTAGGGAGGGGAGGGGTGGAGAAGCTGGGCCAGCACAGATTAGACACATAAGGGAAGTTGACATGCAAGGAGGGTAGAGGGCTGTGCTTGGAAATTTGGCTCTTCTGGAATAGAACAATTTTTTTTAGCAAGTTCAAAGGCACATTGCAATTGAATAACACATCATTTATTTTAACATAAAGCGGTGTACAGCTTGAGCTTAGGATAGAAGAGATTGCATGTACGTAGAGGGATCGGTCTGGAAACTAACACAGGGACCTGCATAAAAGCTGCAAATGGGCCCTATCCAATAGAACAAATGGTTCCCTTTAGTCAGAGCCGGATTTCCCACAAAGCTAACCGAGGCCTGGCCTTGTGGCAGCAGGGGTGTGGAATTCCTATCTACCGACGCCCGGGACGTAAGCTGTTTTCTACATTTAGCCCTGCTTTGGGCAAGCCGGGCTAAATGTACAGCGGGGAAGCCACCGCTTGTATTGTACAAGTGATATGGGCGATGTTGCCGAGAACATGTATATGCAGCCAACATACAGGTACTTGGCATTGGGGCAGCAGAGAGAGTAAATCCAGCCCTGCCTATAGTATATTCTATACAGTAGCACGTAGCAGTGATCGCACAAAGCTCCAGCTGTGGGAGGTTAAAGGAAACCTGTCATGAAAGAAATATGTACGTGACATTACTGACCTTGTCGTCTTCTACAAATGCTATTTGTCTGGCCGTTGTGCCGATGCTTTGGGTTTTATTGGACCTGGAAAAGGTGTACGTAACTAATCCTGGTTTTCTCAGACTTTCCTTTACTGAATGCTTATTTAATGTTCATGACCCAGAAGTATTAAAACCCAACACAGCCAGGCAACTAACATTTTTTTAAAGGGGGTTAGGGATGACAGCCCCATATTTCTCTTGACAGGTTCTGTTACATAACACTAGGTAGCTTACAT